GCGAACCTGGAGAAGGATAACCCGCCAGGGCCGTGGTGGAGGGGTGTGTGTGTGTGTGTGTGTGCTTCGGTGTGCTTCGGCGCCTTTTCACCGCCTGCTCCGCGTCTGCCCGAATAAACATTCCTTAAGGTAAGGTAGATGCTACAGAAGATGGCACGGAAGACTACGACAGGACTGATGACTCCAGACCGCTGACCGTCTGTCCGGCCGACCATCCATACCGGTACACCCTCCGTTACAGTTTTCCGTTGGCCTTCTCAGAGTTCTAGGTACCGTATCCGAAGACAGGACTACCTAGATGCCTACGCCCAAGTGTGCAGGGTTAGTCGCAACTCGAATCTTTACGGTTCAAACATGCACACACACCGTATCCGTAGAGCATGTCGTCTCAAGTCTCCGAATTCCACGCGACAATGGGGATACGTACACCGACCGACTCGGGCATAGCCGAAAGAGCACCGACTCATTCACGCACATTGCGACCATCCCGTATGAAACGGCCTGAATCAGTTCTCGCGGGATCTACAGGCCTTCTTCGACTCAGCTCGAGTCCTAGTAGCGGTCATGGCAGCGTCGCGCATGCCATCCAACCGCATGGGGAAAGCTTATTGAGGGCCACATTTTGCACCAAGAGTCAAAGAAGAAGAAGAATGTTTTTCCATACTCAATGCACATCCTCATCCTCGGACCAAGTCCGGCAACGGCAATACTTTGGCGTTTCTTGGGACCGGCTTACCGGAGCAAGGCGCGGCGTTTCGAGGAAAGGACTTGATTGACCAACTGTATCTCGTCTTGTACCCGGTGTATCGCTTGGCACGCTGCAGAAAACCTAGAATCTCTCACAGAAGAACTCTGATCGTCGCGCATGCCGTATAGACACACACATCCACACTTCCGTAAACCGGGCGCTTCGAGTAAATAGGTACCGGCATAGTGCGCGCTCTTTCTTTTCATGTTACGGGCCGCGCCAGACGCACGGAAAACGGTCGGTGAGGCCCGCCACATGGAGATGGCCGCCGGGCAGAGAGCCACATGTCAAAAAAAGTGTCAAGAGATGGAAGATCTCGATTGTGGCTTATCGCGGGGATGGGGGTAAAAGTCACCAGCTACGATCTCGTTCAACCAATCCTCGGTGAAGAGGCGGGGATCAGGGATGGTTTTCCAGAGCTGTGAGGCAGTAGTCACGAGGACCCAGAGCCTTGCCGCAAGTTGCAACGCATATACCAAATACTCTATAGACGATTGCCGTGGAGAGTGATTGGGTTCGAGTGCCGGCCAACGGCGGGCATCCTTTTGTCCAGTTGTGGCATGCCGCATGACGGGCGCCTTGCCGGCCGGCAAAGGCCATGTGACCGGTTCGCTCTCTGGTAGGTACCGGCGCCGGACCAGTGTGGGCATTCCTGAAGGTTTGGATGTTTGATGCACACTTCACCCAGAAAAAACAGAAACATCATTGGTGATGTTGTGTTTTATGCACGATACCCGCCGACGGCGCGGCGGCGACACACTACAGTCGATTCTACCGTACATGTTTAAACGGCGGTTGTAGTATACACAGGGATTTTGCGGTAGGTACTTGGTGAGGTGTGAAGATAGGTATTACCCTCGGGGTATTTTTCGCGTGTGTTGGCTGCGGCGAACGGCGATCGTACATTGCCTCGGGGGAAATGTCTCCGCAAGTTTCTCACCAAGAGATCTACATACGGCCGAGGAAACACGAAAGAAGAAGCGTTGGCGGCTCCGCTCACAGGTTCATCTGTTGCGACTTGCAGGCCTGCAGTGCACATCATTGACTGAAAAGGCTTAAAGGTACAGAGGGCCGGGTCGCGGCGGCGAAACATGTGCAAAGGAAAGAAAAATAAAAATGACATTCATTTTGACAAAAATGGCAAAATTTTGCCTTCCGTTATGACAGTGTTATCTTGCATCGGCGGAGAAGCTCCGGGTTGGGAGGCGAATGAGGTTGCGACAAGTTGAAATGCGCGAGTCGTCGCAAGTTTTGGTGATGGAGTCAATCAACCAGCTAGTTACTGCGTATGGAGGTGTGGATGGTGTTCATGCCCCTCGTCTTTTGGGGTCCGATGCAATACGGTTGAACCACATGGTGACAGAACACCCTCACCCTCACCCCTCCAAGGGTTCCGATACCGCATGCACACCGCACCGGACCGTCGAACTTGATGGTTGTGTGGGTGTCAAGCGGACTGATCTGTGGGAAAACGGAAATCATCAGATCAGCCAAACCGACGGAGAGTGAGTAAGAGTTTGATTCATGGGGTGGTTGTTCCACAAGGCACAAAGACGGTGAGCATAACAGACAGGTTTCGCCACGGGATGGGGTCATGGAATCGCGGAAATCGTGACAAGAGGTTTTCCATGTCGTCCATCAACTGAGACGCGGCGCGAGGTCTGGCGTCGTGGCGATGACGTCAAGGTTCGATGGAGGGGCAGAAGGGGGGGCGAGGGGTTCATCCTCTTCTTCTTCGTCTTCGTCTTCTTCAAGTTATCCTGGTCGGCTGCTTGGGTTTCCTGCTCGGGAGGGACCAACCCCGCGCACACTGTCACTATTACACCACGGATGCACTACTTACTAACTTTTGTACGCACAAATGCTGTGCCCATTGACTAGCAAAACGGTACTCCGTACTACTATCTTGGAGCGGCGTGGGTGGGGTAACAGGAGCCAGTGACAACATCGTGTCCGCTTCGGAAGCGACGTTCCCAGGGGCCCAGGTGGTTTAAACTCTTTGGCAGCTCCATCCGCGCGGGAACTCTGGGAAAGAAAAAAGGCTTCGCGGCGTGGCGTGGCGGGCAATGACATCAGCGAGGAAGAAGATTTCAACACCAAACTGATTCGTGGCAGAGGGACTTACACGCCTGCGAGAATCCTTACCTTGCAAGTTGCCTTGCCTGGCCCAGTGACGGTGACAGAGCACTGGAGCCGTGTCAGTCGAATGCAGCGGGATGCAAAGAACCCGGAATCCTGGGAGCGTTTAAACGGTTTCTCAGGAGTCAAGGGGCCATTGGGCCGTAGGTTATTGGTGATTACACACTTACAGAAAAAGGATAAAAAAGACAAAAGGTAAAAAGCTAGAATGAGCCCTACGACAGAGTTACATTGCCCCAGGTCGGGTTCGCCCCCATCCACCCTAACGCAAATCACTTTAAATCAAGGCACTTCGTTTACTCTGTACATAGAGGGAGTTTGCCATGTGGCTGGTCGCCTGGCCGCTGGACTCAATTGCTTGCGGAAAACCTCCGTGCCTGACTGACCCTGACGTGGGTGACGTTCACCTTTGCTAAGGTAGCCAACCCCCACCACGTCACTGGCGATGATCTCTAAGGGTTGCTGAATCGTATCGTGCAGCGAGGCGGCTACGCTTTCCGCGGGCGCATGTAGAAATTTGCCATGCCTGTCTATTTCGGATTGGATATTTTGGTAAGCCCGGGGCGGTGTATCACAGTTAGAGAGGTCTTCTAAGCTGCGTCTCGTGATGGTGAGGCGGTGTTGCTTGGTGCTGATGCGGAGGCTGATCAAGGAAGAGTCCGGCGTAAAACCAATCAGTCTCGTGTTGATTGGCGCTTTTCTCATACCTTACTCTACTGTGTAAGAATTCTCGGATTTCAGGTCACGCAGTGCAGATCTTGGGAATACCAGGAGGGATCGTAAACGGAATCACAGCAAGAGAATCAATGGCTGCGAAAACGGATGGCCGAAGGACACCGGGTAATACAGTTACCCCCCTCGGACCCCTTCCGCCTTGGATTATGCGTTCTTGCTGGGCTTTTTTGGCTCGCCTTAACTCGCGACAGGGGAAATGGGTGAACCGTGCTGTGCTGTATAGTCCTGCTGTCGATGCCGAGGCCGTCTGCCGCCTGCCCTGAATATGATTGAAACGCCAGAACCTCTTCCGTGGGGACCAAAATCGTGTACCTGGATATACTTGCGACACGGCTCGGGAATATTGAAATACGGACCGCGGCACGCCGCAAAACGGTCTGGCGGGGTCGAGGACTGTAAAAGCAGTGAGGTCATTGCGGGATGTAGGATGCAAATGACAAGACGGCAGGTGGTGCCAAGGGTGGGGGAGGGGGGAAACAAAAAGGCCGCGGTCTTTTTTCTTCAATCTGGTTTCGACGGGTCGATTCGGGTAGTTCGGCCGGGAGAGTTCATGCAACTTCTGAGAAAGAGTCAATGATTAGAAGGCCCATCAACCATCGATCGGGCGGATCGGACGGGATCGTGGACGGACTTGGGAGGGGCCCGTCGGGAGAATAAGTGGGGGTTGCGGGACTGCCGATGCCGTCCGGGATGGGCGGAACGGTTTCCTGAATCTGCTTCGGGCTTTTGTCTCTTTTTCTCTTGCGGCGATCTTCTGGCAATCCTCTTGGGACTTGTGAGTGAGTATATTCGTATTCTTCAGACATACTGGCTATTTACCTCTCTAGACATATCTTTCTCATCACGGATCTGAATATTCTAAAGGGGGGAATATCCGGCAGTGTGCTCAGACACGCTTCTGCCACCAGGAGGTCATTTCGCCGTTTCGGATCCGAAGGAGGAGTATTCAGCCGCGCGACAAATTTCCCATGATGACAGAACATATGCTAAAGAAAAGAAGAAAAACGAAAAGACGGATGGAAGCTTGCGAGGCTTGGGCATGCGTGGGTACGTGCAGCTCGCTCGGCCACGCCTACAGCTTCTAGTTCTGCTTGGGGAGGTCGACAGCCTGCGATGTTAGAGCTCGAAACTTGCTCAGGATTATGTAGCCTTTGGGAGGCTAGACGATGGGTAATTTCGGGCTTGAAGGGGTCTAGCACAGATGAGTTGGCTTCGTGGGGAACGAGAAGCAGAGTTGACACAGCGGTTGGCAATGTGGATTGATGTCGGTGCGTGATGAAGTTACGTGGGATTTGATAGCATCACAGCCGTGAGAGGACATTGAAGCTATGGTACATTTCACATCATGATAAAGTAGCAATGACTAATATAGATAGTCCATTCCTTTGGTAATCGATAGATTGCTTGAATATAGTGCTTGCTTCCGCGGTGTACATGAAATGCCCCAAACGCCTTGCCCATTTAACCTGGCTCGCAATGTTCTTCCGCCGCGCAGATACAACTACAGTACAGATAGGAAAAAAGTAATCGGGAGAACTCCAGACTGCTGTGGGAATCAATCCGACAACGCCTTTACTCCTTCTTCTCCTTCTTCTTGCCCTCGTCCTTGGACTTGGACTTGGACTTGCCCTCTTCCTTGCCCTCATCCTTGGAATCGTCCTTGGCATCGTCCTTATCCCCATCCTCGGAGTCATCCTTGTCCTCGGACTTTTCTTCCTTCTCGTCATCCTTCTTGTCGTCCTCATCTTGCTTAGTATCCTCCTTCTCCTCCTCCTCCTCCTCGGAGTCGTCCTTCTTGTTGGCACCGGTATCCTTCTTGTCGTCCTTCTTGGTCTTGCTCTTGGAGTCACCCTTCTTGGCATTCTTCTTCTCCTCCTCTTTTTGCTTCTTCTCTTCTTCCTTCTTCTTCTTCTCAGCCTCTTCCTTCTCCTTCTTCTGCTTCTTTCTCTCCTCCTCCTCGAGCTTTGCCCAGTCCTTGGTGGTGTCGGTCTTGCCCAGGTGCATGCTCTCGGCTAGGCCCTCGCCAATATGGGGCTGTGCGTTGCCAATCTTGGTGCGACCAACCAAGCTGACAAAGATGGAGACTCCAACAATGGCAGTCAGGACGAAGCGGTAGATTCCGTACCATTGCGGGGTCCAGCCCTTGTTCTTGGCTCGGGTGTCGGCAAGGTAGAGGAAGGTGAAGGCGGCGAATTGCGAGGTGAGGGCATATTCGACGGGCATGAGGAGGGATGGCCAGGCAATCATAGGCGCGACGACGCCCATGCCGTAGCGGAACTTTGTTCGGGTGGGATGAGGCGTCTTTTCGGCGTATTCCATGCCCTACAACATCGTTAGCCCAGTCATTCCGTCACATTTGACGCGCGGACGCTGCTCACCCAATGGACTGCTCCAAGGAAGGAGATGATGATGGCGCCGTATCCGAGCTGGATAGGCTCGAGGAGGCTCAGCCAGTATTGCGCTGAATCATGATTCATGTAAATATGGTTTGCAAATGTCGACGTAGAGGGCCATTCGAGGTTCAGGTCCCAGCTTAGGTAGACTGTGCTCAGGGATGTGGCAAGGTAGGGCAGAGTGCCTGCAAGACCGAGCAAGTAGGGCTCCCTTGGCACTTCGCTGAGATTGAAGGTATCCTTGACAATGTTCTATCGGTAATGTGTCAATTGGTGTGTACCGTATGGAATCTGGGGCGGAACAGGCTGGTGTAGACTTACCAACTCCTTCTTGAGTCCTCCCGTGAGATCCTCTTCCTTTTGTGTTTTTGCGGGTTCCGGCTCAAAGAGATGGATCCTAGACGACTCTGTCGAAACCGCCTCGGGGTTAGACTCGAGCTTCTTCTTTGCAATCTCGGCCTCGGCCTTCTTATCGATCTTGTCGTAGGGCGAATTTGTGTATCGCGCTTGGAGGGACAAGGGAAGCAGACGAGCTTGGAGGGCCGAAGCAGGTCGCCTGGGGGTGTGAAGAGCACTCGACGGAGACCTCGTCGAGAAGGATGTTGACGGGATTGCTGAGGGAGCTGCGATTTTGCGGGGAGCAATCCGCGCGAGTTGACGCGAAGAGCGAAGCATCGTGAGGGAGCTTTGGCGTTTGCTTTCTGGCGCTACCTTGTATGCGAGGATGGCGAAGTTGGTAAGGCTTTGGACAGTTTCAAGTTGTAGTCCAAAAGTATGAACGGAAGGAATCGAGGTCGGAATAAAGCCAGAAAATGGTTCTATTCTCTCTGGTAATTGGCAGTATCAATGCTTGTGGGAAGTTGTTGTTGATGTTTGTTGAAGCAAAACAAGAGTCCGGCCGGATGTCTTGAAGGCCTCTTTTGGTGTCGCTCACGAGGACCAATTACATTAGCAAAGTGCCTGCCTTATCCGATTGCCTCAAGTTGATGTAAGACTCGGGTCCAGAACTGGGACTGGACGTGGAAAACCAAGGCACACACAGCTGGTCCACGGTAAGGTGCTCATTGCTCGCGTTTGCATGGCCATCAGATCGCACGCAGCCCAGGCCATCGAGGGTGCCAGAGCTCCAGCTGCCGGATGGTGACGTAATGTGGAGACCTGTCCCATGCCCAAGGTGGTAGGTACCTAGGTACTACGTACTGTAGTGACGTCCGGGCCAGAGGCTCCGCATTGGACGAACCAGCAGCTGAGTAGGGTGGAGTATCCGTACTGCTACTGTCCAGTGGCCCAAGCTCCTATTCTATCCCCCGCCGTCTGTGCCGATGTGATGCCATGCCTTGGGTAACTAAGGTACCTTAGGTATCTGCCTCGCCTGACCTTACTTAAGGTACGCAGCCCGTACTCCGTACCTTAGGTAGGTAGGTAGGTACTGAATTGAGGGAGCACAAAAGGCACGTGAGTGCATTTCCTCAGACGTAGGTATTTACCATCGCGAGCGCATACGTAGCAACTAACACAAACATTCCAATGTTGTGGTTCGTCCTAACGCACCAGATCATGATTGAATTTCCACAACCGAAAAGAGAGAGCACTTGACACTTGCCTACCGTAGTCAAGATTCATAACCTCTATTCCTCTTTGATGATGAGAGTCAAGTTCTGCTTTAAGTGTTGATACAGATACGTACAAAACTGAGTGAGGGTTTTACTGAATTGGACTATGAGGTAGGTACCTAGGTATGCAGCTACCTAAGGTACCTTGACTGAGGTACGGAGTACCTAAGGGGGAATGGGGGGGTAACCAGCAGAGGTCCGGTCACTCTAAAGCGTGTATGTTGTTTAAGTAAATAATAATCCCCCCGGTAGATACCTTACCTTGTTCATACTATAACATATATATTAACTTAATAGCAAGTACGCTCCTTCCTCTTATATTTTTAATTACTATAACTATAGAGTAGCTTTCCTTAAATAGAGTAGTACTTCTAGCAGAGATATTAAGGGCTAGAGGAAGCCTATTATAAATTACCTAGTTTAAAAAGAAAAAAAAAGGCACTTTTGTATACGTATTGACTACGCTTAACACTAGAGGTTATGCAGCCAGCAGACCGACCCCCTAGGGACATACCCCCCCTAATAAGCAGCCCAACAGACCTCTGTCGTGCGCACCCCCCCTCCCGGGTAGGTACTGTGTAGTCGGTGGACCCACCCTGCCGTGGCTCAACGGGTCCACTAGGATCCACTCGTAGACGTCCGTGACGGTCCAGTCGGAGCAGGAGCAGCTGAAGTTCTGGCAAGAGGCAGCGGGCAGCCACACAGTCTGCCCTGGGCCGAGCTGTTGCCCTGGCCCATTTCTGGCTCTGGTGCGGGGGAAGGCACTTTGGCAGCTGGCTGGCGCTCATCCACTTCAACAACCAGGCAGCGTCATCATGCACAAATCCGCCGCTCCCTCAGTCCAGACCCCAACCTGCCCCGACACTGTGACCAAATCAACCCTGCCAACGCCCACCCCCCCCAGTACCAGCACAAGCACAAGCACCAGCTCAATATCGACAACGCAGACGAGCCTGCAATCTGTCAAACTCGAGCTGGCAAACATTGACTTTTGGGCAAATCTGCGACGCGGCATTCTCTTTCCCATACCTACCTACCTACCTACCTTGCCCTACCTCGCCGCCAACATACCTCAGACCCGGAGTCACGGCCGACGGCACGCCATCCGAGAACACGACATCCACCCCTCGATACCCAAAAATTCCACATCACCCACCGTTGATACTACGCTTGATAGTACACCTACGACGAAAAGTAACGACGCCCAAAAAACCGAGCAACCCACCAAGACCCCGTACACGATACCATCCTACAGCGCGCGCCCACTTTGATGACGGCAGAGCCTTTCCGGCGGCTACTGATCTGACCTGCGCCCTGCCCGTCGTCATCGAGCTTTCCGACTTTCCGAGTCTCTCCCTTCCTATGCTTCCCATTACCGATACACCATAGAACACCAACCTGACCCTCCCTCGCCAGGGTTAAGGCGCCACATACAGACAAGATGTTGGAGGGACTCGTTGCCGGCCTGCTCAATAGGTTCCTGGGCATGTACGTCAAGAATTTCGATCCAGCACAGCTCAAGGTTGGAATCTGGTCTGGCGATGTCAAGCTACGCAACCTCGAGCTTCGGAGGGAAGCCCTCGACCAGCTGAAGCTTCCCATCAACGTCATGGAAGGCCATCTCGGCGAGCTCACACTCATAATCCCATGGTCCAACTTGCGTGGCGCGCCCGTCAAGGTCTTCATCGAGGATGTCTTCCTGCTGGCCTCCCCCCGGGAAGAGGCTGCGTATGACGAGCAAGAGGAAGAGCGTAGGAAGCAGAGAATCAAGATGGAGAAACTCGATTCTGCAGAGCTTCTCAAGGAGAGGTCTCAGGAGGGCATGAGCCAGGAGGAGCAGAAAAAGAGCCAGACGTTTACCCAGAGCCTGGTCACCAAGATTGTCGACAACCTGCAAGTCACAGTCAAGAACATCCATATCCGATACGAAGATTCCATTTCCGCTCCCGGACACCCCTTTGCACTTGGTGTGACTCTCGAGGAGTTCAGTGCTGTCAGCACCGACGGCCACTGGAAGCCCACCTTTGTCCAGGACTCCACCAAGAGCACCCACAAGCTTGCAACCCTCGGCGCCCTCGCCGTCTACTGGAACACAGATACAGAGCTGCTAGGCCCGGGCCGAGAGGTCGATACTGGCGACAAACCACCGATGCCACATGATGAGATGGTTGACAAGTTCAAGAGTCTGATAGGGTCAACCGAGGACACAGGCCTCAACCACCAATTCATCCTGCGACCCGTCAACGGAAAGGCAAAGATTGTCCTCGACAAGACGGGGGATGTCCATGCTCCCAAGGCCAAGGCCAGTCTACTCTTTGAAGAGATTGGCCTCGTAATCGATGACGACCAGTACCGTGATGGCTTGATGATGGTTGACCTTTTCCACTACTTCATCCGCCACCAAGAGTACAAAAAATTCCAGCCCAAAGGAGTCACGCCCAAGGAAGACCCCAGGGCCTGGCTCAAGTTTGCTGGTGACTCAGTCCTCAGCAAGATCCACGAAAAGAACCGTAGATGGTCATGGGAATACTTCAAAGAACGACGTGATGACCGCCAACGCTACATTGAACTCTTCAAGAAGCGCAAGCAACAGCAACAACTCAGCTCCCAAGAGAACGAAGACATCAACAAACTCGAGATCAAGCTTGATTACGAGGATCTCCGATTCTGGCGATCTCTGGCACGGAACCAGCTTAAGAAGGAGAATGCCGCTGCCCTGAAGAACCAGCCCCCTAAACAGGAGCAACAGGGCTGGCTGGCGTGGGCCTGGGGTAGTGGCCAGAAGCAGCAGGAACACCATGCTGAAGATGATGAGAACACACAAATTACCGAGGAGCAGCGCAAAGAGCTCTACGACGCCATCGAGTTTGACGAGAAGACTGCCTTGGCAGAGTCAGTTGATGTCCCTCGGGACTCTGTCAAGATGCAAGTTGAGGCATGGCTGAGCACCGGAAGCTTTACGCTGAAGAAGAGCCATAACGGCAAGCGGAGTGATCTTCTGAGCCTGCACTTTGATGTTTTCAAAGCCAAGGTGCTGCAGCGCCCTGATTCCTTCCTGGCTGATCTCAGTCTGGGTGGACTTCGTGTCAATGATGGCACCACGCCAGACTCACTGTTCCCCGAGATTGTCAGAGTCAAGGACGCCCCCGAGATCCACGAACAAAAACGCCTAACCATCGAAGAGCTCGAAGACAACGACGACGAACCCTTCTTTCGTTTTGAGGTCGAACAAAATCCCATCGATCGCGAAGGCGACATTGCTCTCAGCGGATCCCTCAAACCACTCGAGATTGTCTGGAATCCAAACTTCGTCGTAGGCGTGGCCGACTTCTTTAGACCACCAGAACGACACATGGAGTCCATCACGGCGCTGATGGAAACCGCCGGCGCCACCGTAGAGACCTTCCGAGAACAGACGCGGGCTGGTCTGGAATTCGCTCTCGAGGAGCACAAAACCATCAATGCCCAGCTTGACCTGCAGGCCCCACTTATTATCGTACCGGTCAGCATCAACGTCAAAGAATCTACTTGTCTAATTCTGGATGCCGGTCATATCAGCGTTAACAGCGAGCTGGTGGACCAGGACACTATGAAACAGATTCAGTCGAAACAACGCCAATCGTACACTGACGAAGACTTCAAGCGCTTAGAGTCTGTCATGTACGACAAGTTCTTGGTCAAGCTCTCCTCTACCCAGGTGCTGATTGGTCCTTCGATCGAGGCGACAAAAGCTCAAATATCGAACAAGGACGACACACAGCACTTGCACGTGGTGGAAGAGATCAACGTCGACTTCGTGGTTGAGACTTCGATTCTGCCAAAGGCGCCAAATCTGACCAAACTGAAGGTCTCTGGCCACCTTCCCATGCTCCATGCAACCATATCAGATTCCAAGTACAAGAACTTAATGCGAATTATTGATGTCGCCATCCCCAAGTTTGGCAACCAAGAGCTGCAACAGGCGCAAATCAAGGACTCCCAGGACCAAGCAGTGACAACTCGCCCACGTGGCCTGAGTACCGCCTCTAACCGATCGCGTTCTCGCAAGGACACCAATAGCCGCCGGAAGTCTTCTCAATTCCCTTTCATGCAGCAACAAACTGCCATCGTGATTGACGAAGATGACGACGATCAGGACGAGTTTGAGGACGCCGACGATGGTGGTAGGAGCAACAAGGAACAGCTCAAGCTCCAACAGCGTTCTTTCGAGCTCAAATTCAAGGTCGACACCCTCAAGGGGTCCCTCTACCGGAGCGATCCTGACAGGAAGAAGCCTGATCAGCTTCTTGTCGAGCTTGTTGCTGAGAATTTTGACCTTCTCTTCTATCTACGTCCATATGACATGTCTGCGGAGGTCTCGCTTGGTTCCGTCATCATGGACGACTTTGTTGACAACCCTCCTGCGGAGTTCAAGTCCATCGTTTCATCTGGAGACGTTGAGGATCGAGAGCAGAATCGTAGCCTTGTCAGCGTCAAGTTTACCAAGGTTAATCGAC